AGACCGAGACGGCTGAGGCCTCCCCCGACGGGTCGCTTGCCGCCATCCGGCTCGTCTGCGACAGGTTCTCCCCTTGCACAACGCCATTTGTATGTTGTCGTTGTTGTTGTTGTTGTTGCTGCTGTTGCTGCTGTTGCTGCTGCTGCTGCTGCTGCTGGACAAGGTCAGCCAAGAGTTGGTGATTGATGAGCGGAGGCTGTGTTGTGCCCGGCTTGAGGACAGAAGGAGCGAGAGGGGCTCGGCCCACGGAGCCAACGAAAGCGGGCGGCAGGGAAGAAGCGCACTTGCGTCGGTGCAATCGCCAGCGGGAGGGGATCCAGGCGGCGCAGACGACCACGAAGATTGCGAGCAGAGCAAGAATGGCGAACGCCGCGATGCTGATCAGAAAGCGGTACTGATTCCAGAGCTCGTCCGTTTCCGATTCCTGTCCACCCGGGGACCCGGCAAAGTGATCCTGTTTTTCCTCTATTATCACCTGATCATTCATGCCTGAACTGCCACTGATATGATCGACCACGGGGAGTCCATGCATAGTAGGATCTGAAACAGCAGATTAGGCATAACAAAGCGGATATTAACTCGGCTTTCCTGTTGCTGGAACTGATTATAAACATGAGATGTATTCACCCTATTTCGTTTACTGGTAGTCTCGAAACTCTACTTACATACGAAAATTAATAATAAAAACTATCTGCTTGTTGCCTAGGCCACATAAAGTTCATATTGAGAAAGTAGACACGGAGAGAAACTGGGTTTCGATGAATCTTCAAAGATAACATTGTTGGGGGGACTCTCATTTCGTATTAAAGTGCATAAGGAGGAGATTCGTGGGTCAATCTCACCAGAAGAGGAGGGATAAGTCTCGTTGTACTGCAGCCGTTTGGCTTTTATACGACATTCAGGTTGACGCAGTCCACAAGACTTCCTACCTCGTTTCGGGTGAAAACGTGCTGAGCTTTCGTCCATCATATGATGCACATCATCAGAGCTGGGGGTCATTCTTGTAAGTCTCACGTTAGCAGTAGAGCAAGAAGACTATCCGGCTCAAACCTTACCTCTTATATAGATTCAATTAAACCAACCATAGATAGCTATAGAGTGATTTGACTAATTATCTTTCATACTGGTCGCGCTACTTTTTCTCGAATGTGTGCGTGTGTTATGTGTGTTAGCGGCTATACGTAATGCCGGTCATAAATCAGAGTCATCCAAATGCTAATGTCAGGCTATGATCATCAAGTTGTCAGGGGGATTATGTAGAACGCACCTAGTCTGATGATCATCAAGGCTTAAGGACCAGAAACGAGGGACTTCGTATATCAGTCATACGGCTGCAGTACAACGGGATTCATCCTTCCTCTTCTGTATGTACTTTCATACGAAATGAAATTTCTCCCAACATTGAGAAAGTAGCTTGATTTAATTTCTACACTTGTTTTAGCCTACTTCTATTTCGAGTGTAAGTGTTTGGTGAACGTGGATTCCATCAGAAGACGAGGACGGATTCCTCATGATCAGCTGACGATTGGTTTTACTGGAACATTCTTGTTGACACTGTTTCCGAAGTAATCTACTTCGATTCCGTCCGTCCTATAACGAACATCATCAGAGCAGGGTATCAACCTTACAACCAAATTCAAGTTAACAAGTCAACAAAGCTCATCGCCTCGTCCCTAAAAGGCTGTATTTATATACTCTATGCCAGTCCTATGTCAACCTAGGAGCATGTGAGTGTGTCTGCTTCTGTGTGTGTATGTGCATGTATGTGCAACAATTATGAAACAAGAGAGTCCTCATAATCCAATTTTTCTTCATTTTTACAACCTATATGAAGGCGCCTTGTCCGAAGTCTTCTGCTAAAGTAGTCATAATAACTTTCGGCGTCTGACCGCTGACTTGGTACATTCCTAGACGTCGGCGAAGTGTCTGGATATGTACCGACTCTACTGTCTGACGCTGGAAATTATCATGACCACTGTAACAGAGGACTGTAGGCGAGAGGCGCTCATCAAGGTCGTCCGGAAAACACGACCAAGCTGGGAAAAAGAGGTTAAACGACTTATAATCAACGAAAGAAGAGTGCGACCAAAACAGAGGCCAAAACATCATCGTTTTCATATTTACGTTTAAATGGAGACTTTTAAGGTGAATACTGCTCGTATCCCAGGCATCAAAACAAATTGGAGTTAATGAGACACTAACACTGAAAAAGGCATACTATATAAGATGTATTCACCCAATTTCGCGTAATATGAAGAAGGATTAATAATTGACTTTTCCCACAATGCTATGAATAGACCTTACAGTTTCAGTAAATTTCACATATTTTTACTCGCAAAAATTCATTCGCATCTAGATTTAACCTCGTTTAGGTCTCAATGGGGAAGTTGATAATACCTAAGCGACGTCGCAATTATAGTCCGCTTTGAATGAGAATACCTTTTGGGAAGCAAGGATATTTGATATTCAATGGAACTGTATAGTCTACTCATATCCTTGGAGGAAAATTCATCTACCAGTCCTTCTTCACTTTGAACGAAATAGGGTGAAACCATCTTATAAAACTGATTTACTGTTAGTTTCGAGACCGAACATATTAACGAAAGATAAATAAATACTATGAGATGTATTCACCCAATTTCGTTTAAGGTGATGAAGGACTGGTGGTAGAATTTTCCCATAATGATATGAGTATAGCTGAAGTTTCCATTGAAATTCTACATAGCCTTACTTTCCCAAACGTTCTCATCCAGGGTGGACTGCAGTTTCGACCTCGCATCGGTCTTGTCAACACCTCCAACGGGAGTCGAATCGTGACAGTGCAGAATGTGAGCTTGACATGTTAATCACTCGGCCACATTGCCACAAGTGCCCTTGGGTCCTTCATCACCTTAAACGAAATTGAGTGAATACATCGCATATTACTGATTTACTGGTAGTCTCGAAACTCTACTTAAATACGAAAAATAAATACTAGTTTGGGTTCTTAGAAAAGTGACTCACTTTATCTTTCTATCAAACAAAAATAGCTGAAAGTGTAGTTCTAATTCGTTAGAGACCGTTTTCTTTCGCATTCCTCTGTAGCCGGGTCCTGAACTGATAATAGTATCATCTACGTTGAATTAAAGAGGAGGATAGATTTTTGTAATAAATTCCTTTTTGATATGCATTCCAGAACGAACTGTATTTAAAACCTCGCCTCATTTTCTAATAAAGAGCACCGGCGGAATTCGGATCGCGATATGTGTTGTAAAGAGCCAATAAGTTGACCTACCGTGTTGTTACAGGACAAGTTTGAACTTCAAGGAGAAGCAAGCCCTGATCACATCGCATAATTTTGTAGAAACTTATTTACTAATAGGCAATTGTAGCTGAGCACTCCCACCTGATAAGCTACTGATTTATATAGTATATAACAGATTTTGTAATGAAGTCAACCAGGGGTCAATCTATGATTTGAGATCGGCTTGTTTTGCTTTGCAAGCTATGCTTGTTATGTAGTAAAGTGTGGCCTAGGGCAACATTTTGGCCCCTTAATGTGCATGATCACGATCGGAATTTCACTGTGGCTGTGGATGATTAGGTGAAGAGGAGTCAAAACTGGAGCCTACTGCGGAAGGAAACGGCCATTTAGGGCACATTACGAAGTCAAATTCAGTGATAAAATAGCTACTACTCAGTAATTCATTGTGAGCAGAGTCGGATTTAGCCAAATAGTAAAACCAGTCGAAAATAGAACGCCCCTATGAGTGGGCACTCGTCTGTAGATTGTAGAAGATGGTACGACTTGCGCTGCATGACTCACCTTTGTTTCACAACTGCCTCTTGCCTAAATTGTGCCTCGCTCTCTCAGCCTCCAACTCAGGCCACAGTTTAGATTTCTGTTTCTACAGCACATTTTCCTTAAGCCGAAAGAAACAACAAACGTCTAAGAGCTAAACACATCGGTCAACAATCTGCGGCTTAAACCATTCGGACTGTGTTTGATGCGAGCATATTCGCCTGATTGTCGTTGAAACTGAGCCAGACAAATTGAGACGACGCCACACCAGATTTATTATTTGTTCATTGTGAAAATTTGTGGGCTCACCTTAAATGCAAGAAGTTGCACAGTCTAAAACGGAGAGACAAACGCATGCGGAATACGGATTATGGTGAATGCATGCATACAATGAGAGAAAACACCAGAGTTGCGGAGGCTGTGTAATGAGGGTGAGTAAACTATGGTTCACCCGAAATCGGGCCATTCTTATTTCGTGTGAACTTGTGAAATAAGAGAGTTCGTTGATCGGCTCAACTCCAGGTTGTTGGATGAGCAATTGTGTGGGGAGTTTCTTAATTCGAGACTTCCACAGTGTTTACCCTTCAGGGGCTTCATACAGAGTTTTGTGTATTCTGCTACAGAGGCTTCCAGAGTAAGGCATTTTCATTAAGCTAATCAGAAAGACGTAAAACTGGTTTTATTCTGGATAGGTAGGATGAAAAGTTGAGTTTCCAACGAGGAACTTAATGGACCCCTCTCGTAAGACTTAGGAGATATGAAAGTATACTTATAGTTCATAGGCCAACTTAATCCGAAGATTAGTATACTAACTACCTGAATCAGTAGTATTTCCTGTATAATGACAGTTGTCAGCAGATAAAATGCTCGCGAAGACTGATACGAATAGTGAGAGGATTTTTTCGCCTTGAAAGTCATGCTAGTCGTGTAACATATCGGACCTATGGGCTGAATTATTTGCTTCTGTATCCATGCCTCCTTGGTTCTAGTCGCGGTGTGGGGGGCTGGTGGGCAAGTGAAGCGAGGGAGCAACTACAATCCACTCTGGATGAGAGCGGCCCTTTGGTGTGCATTGTGATGCGAGCAAAACAAGGCAAAATAGCAAGCATTTCCTTCCATTCATGGTTGATGTATTCGCTACCATTGTTTCAGGAAGCCTCTAGAAAATGGTGGGCATCCAGTACGATCATCTTCTACTACTAATTCTTAATACTATGCATATATTTTTTTCTTGCCGGATGTGCAACTGTTTGTTTCTAAGACTTCATTTCGTATGTAAGTGCACGAGGAAGAGACTATTAGGTCGACCTCATCGGAAGACGACGGCTGATTCCGGTTGTACTGCAGCCGTTTTGCTTTAGTACAACGTTTAGGTTGCTGCAGTCGACAAGACATCCTCCCTCGTTTCGGCGTAAAACGAGCTGAGCTTTCGTTCTTCACATGACTAACATCATCAGAGCTGAGGCTCATTCATGCAGGAGTTTCAAGGTAACACTTAGTCAAAAAGATTTTGTGGCTCTCTCCCTTATGTCATATATATTCACATATAAGCAAATCAAAGGGCACCTCTACTTTATAGATGCACGGATAAGATCTAGTACCAATAGGGAATCGTTCACTTGAATCTAAGCTTTTGGCTAAATCCAAAAGTATCACCGATAATTCTGATAAAAATAGTATATGATTTGAAGGCCATAACTAATCAGCGTAAAGTACACAAAGTATATGGGCGAATTCAACTCAAATACTTA